CAATGTGATTTTTTACAGGCATATAGTACTTAACAAGTTCTACACATTGACGGTTCTGTAGACACCACATTTTTGACCGTCCTCAAGACTTAGACGTCACCATTTGAACACTCGGTGATCATCCATGTTCGTGTTCGTCTTGAGTTCTCGGAGGTCTCAGCCACGCGCCTTGCCTCAAGACCTCTCGACTTGCCTGTTTTGTGTTTGGTTTTGCACCAAACACTTGTGTTTTGCTTTTAAGGAGCAGGGAATGGCTTGTTGGCCATCCCCACATTTCACCGGCCATGGCTTGAGGCCACCGGCCATTGTTTTGTTGCCATCGGCCAAATGTTTGGTCGGTCGGCACTCTGTTTGGTCGATCGACCATTTATTTGGTCAATTTGGCATTTTTGGCTGGCCAACCACAGTGCATCTGCTTTTAGCAGATATTTTGTGCCAGCTATGCTAGCTAGCACCCACTTTGCACCCCCTCCATGTATGGAGGGATTTCACTCTTGATTAGCTTGTTTTGTGAGCTTTGCAAAAGTGATCCTCTATAAAGGGAGGCGTTCTCCTCCCTCCTCAAGGGTTAGAGGCTTGAGTTCCAGAGCTCTGGATTAGGGTTAGCATAGTTGTATCTATTCTATCTCTATATCTCCCTCTCTTCCATATTGTGTGTGTATTAAGGTGTTTTGTTCATAGTTTTGCACACAAACACCTAGAGTTACACTTTCCTTTGGCTACTGAGGTACTAAGGAGTGATTTTCAGAGTTCTTGAGTTGATTTAAGCTTGGAGAAGGGGCTGGAGTGGTCCTTGTGAAGAAGGTCTTCAAGGGTAAGAACTTTACCCCTTTATTTCCTATTTTCGCATAGGCTTTTAGCCATCCTTGCATCTGTTTTTAAGCTTAACTTATAACATATAAAAGTTTTGATTTTAAGTGCTTAAAATAGTTGTTTAAGGTTGTTTTGGTGTTTGGGCTTGTTTGACCCCTCTTAGGCTTTGTTTGGCCCCCATTTTGTGCTATTTTGGTGAGCTCCGAGACCACCTTGTTTGGGCCTCCTCACCACTGTGGTGGGGATGGTGCTTTGAGGTCCTAATAAGGAGAGGGCCATCCCCTCTCCTTGTTGTCTTCAAAAGTTGTAATTTTAGCCTCATGTGTGAGCACCATTGTTGAGTTCATGTTGGCCATGTCTTAACTAGTATTTGTGATTATTTTTCCATGATATAGCACTATTTTAAGTTGGTTTAGACACACCATGCTTGCTTTGCATACTTGTCTTGTAATGCCATGAATTGCCTTAACAAGCTTTGTGCTTTGAGCCTTGTTTCTAGCATGTTTTTGGCCTAGCTTTGTGAAGCTTTTATGCATGTCTTAGTATGCTTAAGGTCTGTTTGGAGTTGTTTTGGCCATCCATGACATGCTTTGCATAGCCACCGTGCATTTTGGCTTGTTAGCCTTGGGTGTGTGAGTGTTGAGCATGCATTACTTGGCTTGTTTCAGTGGTTTGGCACCACTTATAACATCATTTCAGTCCTTGTGGTAAGCTTGTATGCTTATGTTTGATGCTCCTTTAATGCTTCAAGAGGTTGGTATCTTATGCTCCATATTTGAAGCCTTTTGCATGCCTTTATACTTAGGCCATTTACATGACATCTAGGTGTGCCTTTGACCTTGTTTGATCTACCTTGGGGTGGTTTTGAGTCCCCATGGCCCTTTGGGACTTGCTTCATATAGCCATGGTTTAAGCCCCTTGGCTTACCTTGAGTTTTGGACATAGTTGCATGCCTTGCTTGCATTAATAAGTTGATTTGGCATCATTCCTCATGTATTTTCAGAGCTTGCTATGCTTGCCATTAGTCCATATTTCTCCTCTTTTAAGTATGCTTAAGAGTTGCTTCTTTATGCTTAAGAGTTGGGCCATGTGTGCATGCATGTTTGTATGTGTTTTGGCCTTCATTTCCTTAGCATTTGGCCACTGTTTTGGACCTAGTAGAGAGCTGTCCATCTTGGGGTAAGTCCCTCCTTTGCATGTTGTTGCATGCTCGCCTTGTGTGTTGTTGCATACTTGGCCTATCGCATGTGTTGCATGCTTGAATCACATTGCATTTAGCATGTTTTCTTCCTTTTGTCTTGGTTGCTTAACATGTTACGTGTCTTGCATGTTTGCATGTTGGCATTGCATATTGCATGCTTGTTAGCTTGCACATGTTGTTACATGCCTTGCATGTTTGTTTGTTAGGGTTGTGTGCTTAGTACACATTACTTGCTTTCATGCTCATGATTGCATACTTAGCTCACATGTCTAGGTTGCATTGCATTGAGCATGCATGCCTTGTCTCGTGATCAAGTGATAGAGGTTGGGCCTTATGTGTTTATTCGGTATGCATTTCATTTGACATCAAAATGCATAACTTGGCCTCTTTGGCCATCACGCATTGAAATGCGGGATTGGTGGCCCGAGGGTCAAGGACCATCCTCCTTTGAGTCATGAAAATGATAAGGAGGGTGTTGGTGCACACATTTGCTTGAAATGTATTGCCATGCCATGGTTTTTGGACCATTCAAGAGTCGAATCTTCACTCATTTTGACATTTGTTGGTCCAACGCTTTGTCAAGTAAGAATAAATCCCACGAAGAAAGCTTTGCTTTCTCGAATGCCACAAGTAGACTTGATGTCTAAAGTGCACCAACCACGGCTCATGTTACTTTATAGCACGAAGCTCGCTTATGAGTAAAACACTTGTCGAATTGAGGTTCATGTCATCAAGACGCTTAGCCACACAAAGATGTGCTAGTGAAGACCCTTGACCTAGCTCACAAGCTTCCACAGCATGAAGGGTCTCATGTTGCGTGTAACGACCCAGAACCGTATACGATGATTACCAGTAATTAATTATGTGTTAGTATGATTTAATTGAAGATTATCTGTTGAACTTAGAAAATACCTGTTGAGATTACGACTTCGGGACTGAAATTGATGACCGTAATGGGTTCAGAAAACGAAATTGAGCACGCCTGTGTGATACCGGGAATTTTTAGAACCATTTGAGGAAATAAATTAAGGACTGAATTTCGTTTGATTCGTAAGTCATGTTTGGCTTAAGTGTTTTGAGCATAATGGTTTATTTTGTTATATAATAGATAAGGATGGATGTTTTGACTCATTTGACTCAAACTAAAGAAAAAGAGAATATCTAGGGAGAGAAAGAGAGAGGAGAGAGGAGAATTCATGAGAAAAGGGAAAGAAGAAGAGAAAAGGGGTTAAGCTCAAATCTTCTCCAAACTAAGTGGTTAAGGTAAGATTTCCATGAAATTGATTGTTGATTCGTGGTATTTAGCATATTGAACACAAGATCATGGCTTTAAAATGGTATGATTTATGGTTAATTGTCATATTTTGAGGAAGAACCTCCATGGATTTAAGAATGAAGCTTTTATGCTCAAGTTTATGATTTTCTATTTTACTCCAAGATTTGATCTTCTATTGTTCCATATGGGTTTTGATTCGAAGTTTTGATGTTGATTTAAGATGGGTTTTAAGTGTTTTGGGTCTTGGATTTCATAAATGTGGAAAGTGATTTTGTAAAGAGGAGAATGAAGCTTGGAAGAAGAATCAGAAATTCGGATTTTTGCTCTGTACGCTCGAGCGTAGGGAAGCCCGCTCGAGCGGTGAAAACAGCCTCCCAGCAGTTTTGGGACTTTTTACAGTACGCTCGAGCGGCCAAAGTGGCGCTCGAGCGGGAAGGCCTTTTTCAAGAAAATTTTGGGGAAGTTGCAGACTTGATTTTAACATGTTAATTGCATCATTTATCATCTTATGAACATGAAATGAGTATGAATCAAAGTAAAGAAAGATTAGAATGAACATGAAATGAAGTAAAGGAAAGAATGAAGTGCATGAATTACAGGATTTAATGATAATGTGTATTGAGAAATGTGTTATAATGTTGATATTTGCAGGTCAAGATTTGAAGACCGTGCATTCGGTTTCGGAAACCCTCTGTGAGTAACATTTCTGTAAAGATATGTTATTATGAACTATGTTTTAAATGTATTACGTTATGCTATACCTTGAAATGAGAATGTTTTCCGTGAATGAATGTCCTGATTTGCGAATCTAGTATGGCATCCATAGATAGTTGGGTCATGGGGGCGGGAACATGCAGGCCCATGCATCATGAGTCATGGGGGACGGCATGGAAGGACAAGCCCATGACTAGTTACGAGATCTCGTAGACTGTTGACTGATAGACTGTTATAAAGGTTCTGTGGAGTATGCCATTACGTATGTTCTTATGATGACTGATGACTGATACATGTTTATGACTGATTTATTGTGGATTTATGAAAATGTCGGACTTCGTTCACTAACCTCTTTACTGTTATGTTACTTGCTGAGCTCTAGCTCATTGTTTGTAATTATGTATTAGAGGTGAGCATTCTGGAAGTCAAGCCTAGGCGGAGTCCGAGCCGAGCCACCGTTTTGAAGCCTACCCGGTGTTTTGGTGCCTCCGAGTTGGGGCTAGGCCTAGAAGGCCGTTAGGAAGCTTGGTTTTGGTTGTACATGTGGCGTGAACCTATGTTTTGTACATGAATTTTGATTACATGTGATGTAATGTAGTGGGTAAATTAACATTTTTGGCATGTAATGTATGTTCATATAAATGCACAGCTCTTTGGACTATTAGTGGTTATTGTTTTCGCTTCCGCGAGCCCCTTTTATTTATGTTTGTATAGCAAGGCCTGTGGTAACCTAGGATTACTGGCCGGTCTCGTTGCCAAACTTCTAGGGGCGAGTTTGGGGCGTGACAGAGTGGTATCAGAGCGCACGAGTTAATTTACTCACACACGTGTCCATATGAGCTGTAGGGTGTCCTAGAAAAGAAATAGAGCATGGCATACATGTGTACATGTGTGTGTGTGTTTAAAAGAGAAAGAAACGAGAATTGTATGATGAGGCAACAGAAGAACTGTTATGTGAAAATAAGATGTTGTATTTTCTATGGGTTCTATAGACCAATGGAAGACGCCAATGCAAGAAATGTAGATGAGACAGAACCTTCTGATGCTAGAATGACTCGGTTAGAAAGAATGGTTGAAGCTCTGACTGGATTGGTTAGACAACAGCTAGAACAAAACCAACAACCACAGCAAAGACAACCTTTTCCACCACCTCCTCCACCACCTGTTCAAGTGGAACCGATCAATTATGATGACATCATTACAATGACACAGAAATACAAGAAATTGAAACTGCCAGAATTTGTAGGAGGTATTGAGCCATTACAAGCAGAGGCATGGGTACTTGAGACTGAGAAAAATTTTTGAAGTGTTTCCATGTAATGATACATATAAAGTTCTATTAGCCACATTCACTTTGAAGGAAGAAGCGAGAAGATGGTGGATGCTCATTCGAGATATGAACAGGGACTTGACATGGGATCGATTCAAAGGAATGTTTTATGAAAAGTATTTTCCACAATGCATGCGAGATAGAAAAGTATCCGAATTTGAACAGCTGAAGCAAGGAACCATGTCAGTAGCGGAGTATGAAGCGAAATTTACCGAACTAGCCCGTTACGCTCCTCATATGGTTGATACGGATTACAAGAAGGCAAGGAAATTTGAGGGTGGCTTACATGTTGAGGTCCTTGACCGGGTAAATGTATTGAAATTAGAAAAATATGTTGATGTACTTGACAGAGCCTTGATGGCTGAAACAAATATTGCTATCTTGAAAATGTCCAAGTCTATAACTACACCTGAACCAGAAAGTAAGAAATTCAAGAAACAGAAGATGGAAGCGGTTAGTGAATCAGTGGCCTCCGTGAATGACAATTTGAACTCGAGCTTTAATGATAATACAACAAGGGGAAATAGTGGGAGTGTAGGTAAACCTATTTGTAGGGAATGTGGGAAGCAGCATGGGGGCATTTGCCGCCGAGGAACTGGAGTTTGCTACAAATGTGGACAACAATGACACATAGCCAAGACTTGTCCACAAGTGTATCCAAGGAATGAAAGACCCGTGACTAGCGGAGCTAACTCAACAGTGACACCAAGGACGACCGCAACAGCTACTCCCGAGGGGAATACGTTGAGGCAAGCAAGAGTTTTTACCCTCGTGGCAGATAAGACGCAAAATACTGGAAAAGCAAAGACAGATATGACTTTAATTGTCTATTATGAAGTTAACACTGTTACCTATGCGATGGAAATATGAACATATGACCATGACGGAATAATATACCTTTGTTATTACTTATTAAGGAATGATTATGTCTATATGACTACTTTTATATTGAACATTTCTGACGGAAGAATTATCACGTACAACCGAAATTTCAAATTTGAATATTATCAGTATGAGCTAAGTTTGGAGGACCAAACTTTTAAGTTGGGGAGAGTGTAACGACCTAGAACCGTATACCATGATTACCAGTAATTGATTATGTGTTAGTATGATTTAATTGAAGATTATCTGTTGAACTTAGAAAATACCTGTTGAGATTACGACTTCGGGATTGAAATTGATGACCGTAATGGGTTTGGAAAATGAAATTGAACACGCCTATGTGATACCGGGAATTTTTAGAACCATTTGAGGAAATAAATTAAGGACTGAATTTCGTCTGATTCGTAAGTCATGTTTGGCTTAAGTGTTTTGAGCATAATGGTTTATTTTGTTCTATAATAGATAAGGATGGATGTTTTGACTCATTTGAATCAAACTAAAGAAAAAGAGAATATCTGGGGAGCGAAAGAGAGAGAATTCGAGGAAGAGAGAAAGGAAAGGGAAAGAAGAAGAGAAAAGGGGATTAAACTCAAATCTTCTCCAAACTAAGCGGTTAAGGTAAGATTCCCATGAAATTGATTGTTGATTCGTGGTATTTAGCATGTTGAATACAAGATCATGGCTTTAAAATGGTATGATTTATGGTTAATTGGCATTGTTGAAGGAAACCTCCATGGATGTTTCGAAATGAAGCTTTTATGCTCAAGTTTACGATTCTCTATTTTACTCCAAGATTTGATCTTCTATTGTCCCCATATGGGTTTTGGTTTGAAGTTTTGATGTTAATTTAAGATGGGGTTTAAGTATTTTGGGTCTTAGATTTCATAAATGTGGAAAGTGATTTTGTAAAGAGGAGAATGAAGCTTGGAAGAAGAACCAGAAATTCAGATCTTGCTCTGTCCGCTCGAGCGGAGGGAAGCCCGCTCGAGCGGTGGAAACAGCCTCCCAGCAGTTTTGGGACTTTTTACAGTACGCTCGAGCGGCCAAAGTGGCGCTCGAGTGGGACGGCCTTTTTCAAGAAAACTTTGGGGAAGTTGCAGACTTGATTTTAACATGTTAATTGCATCATTTATCATCTTATGAACATGAAAATGAGTATGAATCAAAGTAAAGAAAGATTAGAATGAACATGAAATGAAGTAAAGGAAAGAATGAAGTGCATGAATTACAGGATTTAATGATAATGTGTATTGAGAAATGTGTAATATGTTGATATTTGCAGGTCAAGATTTGAAGACCGTGCATTCGGTTTCGGAAACCCTCTGTGAGTAACATTTCTGTAAAGATATGTTATTATGAACTATGTTTTAAATGTATTACGTTATGCTATGCTTTGAAATGAGAATGTTTTCCGTGAATGAATGTCCTGATTTGCGAATCTAGTATGGCATCCATAGATAGTTGGGTCATGGGGGCGGGAACATGCAGGCCCATGCGTCATGAGTCATGGGGAACGGCATGGAAGGACAAGCCCATGACTAGTTACGAGATCGCGTAGACTGTTATGAAAGGTTCTGTGGAGTATGCCATTACGTATGTTCTTATGATGACTGATGACTGATATATGTTTATGATTGATTTATTGTGGATTTATGAAAATGTCGGACTTCGTTCACTAACCTCTTTACTGTTATGTTACTTGCTGAGCTCTAGCTCATTGTTTGTAATTATGTATTAGAGGTGAGCATTCTGGAAGTCAAGCCTAGGCGGAGTCCGAGCTGAGCCGCCGTTTTGAAGCCTACCCGGTGTTTTGGTGCCTCCGAGTTGGGGCTAGGCCTAGGAAGGCCGTTAGGAAGCTTAGTTTTGGTTGTGCATATGACGTGAGCCTATGTTTTGTACATGAATTTTGATTACATGTGATGTAATGTAGTGGGTAAATTAACATTTTTGGCATGTAATGTATGTTCATATAAATGCACAGCTCTTTGGACTATTAGTGGTTATTGTGACTCAAGGGGGCTTAAACCAAAGCTATATGAAGCAAGCCCCAAAGGGCCAGGAGGACCTAAAACAGGTATAATGTAGGTCTAAACAAGACCAAAGACGCACCTAGATGGCATCTAAATGGTCTACACATGGAAGCATACATAAAGGTCCAAACATGGAGCATAAGACACAAGCCTTTTAAAGCATTAAAGGGTCATCAAATGCAAGCATACAAGCATACCACAAGGACTAAAATGATGCTATAAGTGGTGCCAAACGACTGAAACAAGCAAGTAAAGCATGCTAGAGGGGTCAACACTCAGGGCTCACAAGGGGGATTACATAGTAGCTATACAAAGCAAAACACGGATGACCTGAGCAACCAAAAACAGAACTTGGACACGCCAAAACATGTATAAAAGCTTCACAAAACTAGGCCAAAACAAGTAAGCATGGTGGTCTAAATGCTAGGCACATGTTAAGGCAATTCATTGCATTACAAGACAAGTATGCTAAGCATGCATGGTGTGTCTAAACCAATTAAAAATAGTTCTATATCATGGAAAAATAAGTATAAATAACACTTAAGACATGGCCAACATGCACTTAAACAAGATGCTCACACATGAGGCTAAAATGGCCAACATTTAAGGCAACAAGGAGAGGGGATGGCTCTCTCCTTCTTAGGACCTTAAAGCACCATCCCCACCACTGAAATCCCTCTGGATTGCAGTGGTGAGGAGGCCCAAACAAGGTGGTCCCGGAGCTCACCAAAAATGCACAAAATGGGAACCAAACAAGGCCTAAGAGGGGTCAAACAACCCCAAACAACAAAGTGACCTTAAACAACTATTTAGAGCACTCAAAAACAAGACTTTTATTAGTTATACACAAAGTCTAAAAAAAGATGCAAGGTAGGTTAAAAGACTATGCAAAAATGGGGAATAAAGGGGCAAAGTTCTTACCCTTGAAGACTTTCTTCAAGAAGAGCACTCCAGCTGCTTCCTTAGGTCCAAACCAGCTCCAAAACTTCAAGACCAACCTATTGGCTCCTCAGCAACCAAGGGAAGGTGTAGAACTAGGTGTTTGTGCACAAAAATAAGAACAAACACACACAAAGGCAAAAGGAGAGGGAGATATAGAGATAGATAGATACACTATGCAAACCCTAATCTCAGAGCTCTCTCTTGAACTTCTGGAACCCTTGAGGAGGGAGGAGAAGGTCTCCCTTTATAGGGGATCACTCTTGCAAAGCTTACAAAACAAGCTAAGCAAGAGTGAAATCCCTCCATACACGTGTATGGAGGGGGGACAAAGTGGGTGCCAGCTATCACAGTTGGCACAAAATATCTGCCAAAAGCAGATGCACAGTGGTCAGCCAGCCAAAGGTGCCAAATTGGCCAAAACAATGGTCGGCCGACCATCAATAGTGCCCACCGGCCAAACATTTGGCCGATGGCAACAAAACACAATGGCCGGTGGCCTCAAGCCATGGCCGGTGAGATGTGGGGATGGCCAACAAGCCATTCCCTGCTCCTCAAAAGCAAAACACAAGTGTTTGGTACAAAACCAAACACAAAACGGGCAAGTCAAGAGGTCTTGAGGCAAGGCGCGTGGCCGAGACCTCCGAGAACTCAAGACGAATACGAACATGGATGATCACCGAGTGTTCAAACGGTGACGTCCAAGTCTTGAGGACGGTCAAAAATGGGGTGTCTACAATAACCATTTGCATAATTTACCCCAAGTATAATTTACCCAAAATTATATAATGCAGCAGCCAAAAATTCCAGTACCAATAAACTGGTATAATTGAAATGAAAGATTGAAGTGCATAGAAAGTGTTAGAATGATCTATTCTTAATAAGATCGAGATAACTAAAAGTGACCAGTACAACAACTAAAGATTACAACCCAATGTTGAAATTAACACAGAGAGAGAGAGAGAGAGAGAGAGAGAGAGAGAGAGAACTGACAAGGGTTGCGAACAGAGGCTCGGACAATGTAACCACGTTGAAGCAACAACTTAACCAGCCATGAAGCTATGAACCCTAACCCTCCCATCACGCACACTATCTTCCCTTGCCCACTCATTCTCTATCTCTCTCTCTCTCTCTCTTTCTCTCTCTCTCTTGTTCTCTCTCTGTGAGAAGGTGACAATTGAAATTGGTTAATGGCTCCAATGTTTCCTCTCTCAGATATTACTTGTGTGCTATTTACATACATATTTTTTATTTATTGGTACTATTACTAGTGTTGTATGTCATTGATTGCATTGCCTATCATTGTGTTATTGACTCTTTTTGGCTACTTGTGTTGTATGTCATTGATTGTGTTGCGTCTCATCGTGTTATTGACTCTTTTCAGCTACTTGTTTTGTATATATGTCATTGATTGTGTTGCATTTGGTTGTGTTATGGATTCTTTTTGGCTTTGTTTGGAAAAATAATTGGAACTAAATTAAAATATAAAATAAATTAAAAAGTTAATAATATAAAATGTTACATTTGAGTTATAATTATTTTATTTTTTTAATAAAAATTTTTAAAAATTAAAAAATCAATTCTAATGAACTTTTTAACTCCAAACAAAAATAATCAAAAATACAAAAAAACTATAATAAACTAACCAATCTACCGCAAAACGACAGCTTTATTTTCTATCTTTTTTTTTTTCATTTGAAGTCTAAAGCGAGGTGGCCGGGTAGTTTTGTGGTTTCAAAAACACAAAATTAAATAAGGGGTTATGGGTTTGGCTTT